GTGGTGGTGGTGGTGGTGGTGGTGCACACCTTTAATCCCAGCACTCGGGGCAGAGGCTGGAGGATTTCTGTGAATTTGAGGCCAGCCTGGTCTACAGAGTGAGTTCCAAGACAGCCAGGGCTATACAGAGAAACCCTGTCTTGAAAAAAAACAAAAACAAAAACAAAAAACCCAACCAGAAGTTTTGTCTATTTGTTCACAGCTAAATCCCAGCATCTAGAACAATACTTAATAAATATTAAGAGCCCTGTAATTATTGGTTAGGTAAAGAAAGTAGATGAGATAGTGAGACATAGGAGTGGCAAGGCATGGGATAAGGTGGGTGAGGGGACTGGGAGGGGACCTGATTGAAATTAAGGCTGTGGTAGGGCGGGGTGGGGGGCACAGATTTTTCAGTGTTTCTGAGGACTGCCAGGGGAGTGATCCTGCAGACTTAATGAGGCAGGGGGGAGACCGGTGGAAAGGCAGCTGGCAAAATGCATAATCACTGATATGGAACTAGGGTCTGATGGTGGGAAACCATGCAGACAAGAGATTAACCATCCAGCTAGGTCCAGGAAAACAGAAAAATGGAACATGAGCCAAAGAGCGCTTGGAGGTCTAGAACCAGGCTGAGCAGACAGAAGACTAGCACTGGTGAGGCATTAGCTCTGAGTGTGGATTCCCTGAACTTTCCATCATAGTCGATCATCTAAATCTGGAAGTTGTGAATACAGAAGTAAGGAGGGAGTCAAACTGCCATAGTGTTTATTCCCCTGACCCTGGAATATGGAAGCCAAAAACCCTGGCAGTTTAACTAATATATTTAACCTTTATATTAAAATCCAGAGCAAGTTTGTACTGATTCAAGTTGTTGTCAATCAAAGAAAGCTGTTGGGTATAGACTCATAGACAAGTTTGATACTGAGGGGAACTGACCCAACAGCAATTAAATCTCAATTTGAGTCTTAAATGGGAAACAAATATGCCAGGGGCATGAAGCAGCCAGGATTCTGATGAACAGTGAGTTTTCAAAACTCAGGGAACGGTCACCCTTTAAAATATCCAAGAGAGATCCGGCTGTCAGCACCTTAACCTAGAAATCATTCCTGGCCTTGTTAATGTCGAGACAAGCTGACATCAGGTGTCTCTAGTATGATGCAAAGCACAGAACACAGCATCACCTGAGAATATTCTTGCCAAAAATGTGCAACCTGTATACATTCCTTCCCATTTACAGAAACCACACAAGACAGGAACAAGATGGGTCACATATGAGAGAGCAATTAGATACATTCAAAGGTGACACATAGTCTAGCATGAGCCTGGGCTTTTCCATAACTCCATGTTGTGTAACTATAAAAAGCAGGGGGCCGTGCGTGGTGGTGCATGCCTTTAGTCCTAACACTAGGATGGAAAAGGCAGGCAGATCTCTGAGAGTTTGAGGCCAGCCTGGTCTGCATACAGCGTTCCAGGCTAGTCAGGGCTATAGTGAGACCTTATCCAAAAAAAAAAAAAAAGAAACAAACAAACAACAAAAAACTCCACAAAATGCTGCTTTAAATTAAAAGAATCTTTAAAGTTTAAATAAAATGTGGTCCTTGGTTAGCTCCTATCTCAATTGGATCGATGTAGGAAAACAGGGCAAAATGGGTAAATGTGGATATGGAGTAAATGTGAGTGTGACATTGATGAGTATTGACAATTGTTACATGTAGGGCTAAGTGTATATAGATAGCCCAGTGGTACAACACTTGTCTGCCACGTAGGAATCCCTGGGTTTGAGCCCCAGAACTACAAAAAGTTATCAAAATGGGACTGTGGGCCAGGTGTGGTGGCACATGCCTTTAATTCCAGTACTTTGTAGGGCACAGAGGCAGGCAGATCTCTGTAAATTGAAAGTCCAGTCTAGCCTGGTCAATATATGGAGTTCCAGGCCCATTAAGGCTACATAGTGAGATGTTGTCTAAATCAAAGAAAGTCCAGAAATAAAAGCAACAGATTAATCAAATGTGGCAAAATACTGTAGAATCTGGTAGGCAGGTAAAGGGGTGCTCACCAAGGTGTATTCTACTGTCCTAGATGTTTGAAAAATGTTGTCTAAAAAATTTTTTAAAAACCTATAAAGTCCCTTCTGGATAAGACTGCAGTATCTGTTCTATTTAGAGGTGACTTGAAACTACCCTCTTCCTTGGGTCTCCCCAGACAGAACAGAAGTAATCAGTTGGCTGAAAGCTACATTTTTACTGAGATGACTCAAGCCAGGGTAAAGGAAGTTGGTGCGTAGACATTTGAGCCAATTTATACAATACAGACAGAAGGCTCAGTAGGTAAAGGCACTTGGTGCCTAACCCGATGCCCTGAATTCAGTCCCTGGGACCCATGCAGTGGAAGGAGAGAATTGATTAAGTTGTCCACACAGGCACTGTTGTGTACCCTATACACACAAAACAAACAAAATTTAATCAAAAGATAAAAAATTACATTAAAAAAAAAAACAATTGGTCATGGTGGCACAGGCCTTTAATCCCAGCATTCAGGAAGCAGAGACAAACCGAGCCCTGTGAGTTTGAGGCCCGCCTGGTCTACAAAGTGAGTTCCAGGATAGTACACACACACACACACACACACAGAGAGAGAGAGAGAGAGAGAGAGAGAGAGAGAGAGAGAGAGAGAGAGAATAGAGAACAGAGAGAGGGGGAAGATAGGAGAGAGGAGAGAGAGAGAGAAGAGGGGGGAGGAGAGGACAGAGGAGGGAGGAGAGAGAGGAGAGGGGGGAGGGAGAACACTTTGGAAAAGGTGAGGTTGGATTTCTGAACCCGGAAATGGAGGAGCAACGGAAGAAAGGTTCCTTCCATTAGGGATCTCAGAGCCAGGATGGCCAAGAGTTAGGACCACCAGGGTGTATGAGGTCTCATCTTTCCTGGGACTGAGAAAATACTCAGGAAGAAAGGGTGGTGTGGGACATCTGCTTGGCATTGCGTTTAAGTAACAGAAGCTGAGAGGAGCGGTGCCAAAAGATGGAGAAGTGGCATGCCTTGGCATGAGTGAGTCCTTGGGTTCAATCCCCAGCACCACACTAAATGCAATTTAATAGTATGGATTTCAGTAATAAGAAGTGATTAATGGAGGAGAGGTAGGTGAGGATGGGAATTGGATCAGCAAGAGCTTGTGAGTGGTGTGGCTGAAGACAAAGAGGGATACCTGAATTCTCCCGGCTGAGGAACGCCTGAGCAAAAATCTCACCCACCCAGGCCTGCAGCTCAGAGTCCTGCTGCACCGATGCATCGC